TGGGAAGGAGGGCGGTCATCTGCGCTCACTGGAGCACGGGTGGAGGACCTTCGGCCGCCTGGACGCGGGCGTCCCGGGTCCCGCCACCCCAAAACGCACGCACTCACCCACAGGCTGCTGAAGTAGTCGAGGCCACGGCAGATGAGCGCGCCCGCGTGCGCCAGCAGCACCTGGACGCCCAGGTAGTTGCCCAGGCAGTAAAGACCGTAGAGCAGCGGGCCCCCCGCGCCCAGCAGCAGCAGCAGGCGACGGCGGCGCAGCGCCTGCTCGCCCAGGGCCTCCACGCCGTAGTCGGCGAAGCAGAGCGGCAGCAGCAGCGCGGCCAGCACGATGGGCGTGTGCGCGCGGTGCAGGCGGCGCAGCCACAGGCGGCCCAGGCGCGTGAGCGAGCTCTTGAACGGGTGCAGGAAGGTGCCGCACAGCACGGCCCAGAGCAGCGGCCGCAGGAAGGCCTCGAGGATGAAGTACACGAGCACCGCGGCCCCGCAGCACAGGCACACGAACAGCACCGCGCCCGTGTTGTAGAAAGCCTGTTTGATGGGCTTATCGAAGCGCAGCGCCAGCGCCGCCGTACGCGGCGTCTCGCCCGGCCCTGCCGCGCGCGGGACCCGAGGCTCCGGCCGGGGAGATCCCCGCGGGCTGGGCGCTTCGGGAGCGCAGCCACGGTCGGCCATCGCGCCTCTGCCTGGACCGTGGGGCGGAGCTGCGAGCTGGTGGAGGAGCGCGGGCGGAGGCGGACGGTGCCGCGAGGGTTTGTGGGGTTTGTAGTACCCATACTGCGGGCAGAACATGCACTAGAACCCAGGGAAACTACAACTCCCAAGAGGCTGAGCGCAAACGCCTCCGCCCTTGGGCCCAGTGGTCCCTCAGGGACCATGTAACAAGTTTTGACACGGTCCTAGAAAACGAAAAGTACGGGGACACAACACTACAAACCCCCTTCTCTGATTGATGTCAACTTTCCCGGAGGCAGGATCCCAGAGATGGAAAACACAAGCTGTGCTCTATGCTTTGAAAGTATTTCTAAAAACACTGATGCACAGACTTAGTTTTATTGATTTATTTAATAAATACTTATTTTTAATCGTGTGAATGCAATGTGGGTGGGTGGCCAAAGAAGCCAGAAGCGCTGGATCCCCACTGCTAGAGTTACAGGTGGTTGTGAGCAACTTGACTTGGCTACTGGGACTAGAACTCCACTCTTCTAGAAGAGTAATACATGCTCTTAACACTTTAAAGTGCTCTCTCGTGTACATGACAGGATTTTAAGCAGCTGTTGCCCTGTGACAGTCTCTAATCAAGGAGGCTGGCTCCTATCATTTTATCCTGAGAACATCCCTCCAGAGATGTTACTAGTCTTGTTTTGCAAATAAAGCACAGAGAATATTGCAGAACGATCACAGAGAAATTAAGTACCTGGCCTCATACAGCTGCCAAGTGGGTGAGTTGGGGTTCACACTAAGTACCCTTATTGTGTAGCTCTTACGTTCTATGCTAACTGATCTGAACAGGGGATCCTTTGGCTTCTATGGGAAGCCTCTTAGAGAACCATAATGTGCACCCACGATTAACTTTCTAACACAGAGTAGGAGCCTTTGGGAGCAATTTAAATGCCTCGGAGTGTGTATCAGTGTTTAACTGCCACTATTTGCTCCCCACTGAAGTGTTCTCTCTGGCAAGGGATAATGGACATCATAGTTCTTTTGGTTGTTGTTGTTTGGTTGGTTGGTTGGTTGGTTTTGGTTTTTTTCGAGACTGGGTTTCTCTGTGTAGCTTTGGAACCTGGCCTGGAACTCGCTCTATAGATCAGGCTAGGACCTGACACGGCAAACAATATTCATAATCCTGAATAGGAGCTCACGTGTACCAAGCAGGAGAAAGAATGAGTGGTATCCTTTCCCAGGAGCCTGTATGTGCTTACTGCATGATACTAAAACCTTAGTGCAATGGTCCTCAACCTTCCTAATGCTGCAACCCTTTAATACAGTTCCTGATGTTGCGGGAACCCCCAACCATAAAATTATTTCATTGCTACTTCATAACTGTAATTTTACTACTGTTGTGACTCGTGATGTAAATATTTGATATGTGGGACATCTGATATGTGACACACACACACACTCCAAGGGGTTGCAGCCTACACGTTGGGAATCGCATCGCTAGAGCATTCCTTTGTTTGCAGGCAAAGTTAAACAACTGAGATATAGAACTCTAAAGTTGGGAGGGGACATAGCAAGAGAAGGCCACTCTTGTGTTGAAGATGTGCAAGGCTGAACACTTGATGAGAACACTCGACGAAGACCTTGTGGTAACAGAGTGTTAGAACTGCAGCTTTAGAGCCAAATTATCATGAGCTATTTTTATTGCCCACTCCTGTCTAGCCTAACATCCTTTTGACCATCAGATAAAACCTTTAGCTAGGAGGTGGTGGAGCACACCTTTAATCCCAGCACTTCGGAGACAGAAGCAGGCAGATCTCTATGAGTTCGGGGCCAGCCTGGGCTATAAGAGCTAGTTCCAGGACAGGTGCCAAAGCTAGAGAAAGCCTGTCTTGAAAAAATAAATAATAATAAACTTTTAAAATGTGTTTTTGGCAGCCTACTAGCTTTCAACCCATCCAAAAGCCAAAAATATCATCAGAGAGTAATTAAATACATGGCAGAATTTTCCCTTCTTTGATATAACTTACCTGCCCTATAGCCCTACTAAATGTTTTTGGTTAATGCCTTAACATAACTTTCTTTGTCCTTTAACTAATAAGATCTCTTGTAACCACTTCCATGCTAGGATATATCTCTTGGGGCAACCTGAATACGTTCCTAGGCCATAGGCACTCACATTTTGCTTAGGAAAAAACTGTGTCTTATTCCTTTTGAAATGAGTGCTGTGTTGCGGGTTGATAGGACCTAAGAACTAAATTTGAGAAAGGGACCCAAGTCCACTCAAATCTCAAGCTCATGGGGCATCCGCTCTAAGGTAGCTCTTCCAAAATGCCATACTTCTTAGATTCTCTTTGGTGGCATCACATGACTCAGAGAAGACCAGCTGCCTGGGCACCCCAGATGCAGTGGAGGACCCTGAGACCAGGCTGCGCTTGGCCTTCCAGTTACATGAATCAAGGTATTTTCTCATCGTGATATCTGTTGCAGTGACTGTTTTTGGCCCAGGGCATGGTGAGACCCTGAAAGTAGATCTTAAAATGCTTCCTTGCCAAGAGTCCTCTCTTGCTGTCCCAGACACTCACCTTTATAAATACAGCAACCTCCAAAGTCAGCATTGTGTCTCTAACATTTCTAGGATATGGTAGCGAGGGGCTAAATATAATCACAGGTATGTCTGCCAAAGGAAGAAAGGGAGATTAAACCACACAAAAGGAGACGGTATACCACATGCCATAGAGTCAGAACTCAGACTGGGATTGTGGGAACAACTCTAGCTGATAAGTCTAGATACAAACAAAATCTAAATCTTCTTCTGTGAAGCCTCTAGAAGAAAAATGCCCTGCCGACATCTTGATTCCACTGAGATCTCGGGCCACTAGAACAGTGAGACAATACATTTGTGTTGTTTTAAGTGACCGACTTTGTGGAAATCTGTTGAAGACATAATAGCCTTGTCAAATTCAGGTGGAGCCAGTACGCATCCTGCTAATCTTTCTCCTTGCCTTGCCCTCCCCTTTCTTGGAGATGCTTCTGTCTTCACTGCCTATTTTGGTCCATCTCTTAGTCTTAGTCATTTCGGGCTGCTATCCCAAATTACACTAGACTAGATGGCTCAAATAGTTGAAGAAGTAGGGGGTTTGAGGTCAAGGAACCTGCACGATCAAGTTCTAGCGAGGGTTCTCTTGTCCCTAATCCCATTTTGACACTAATCCCATCAACAAAGGCTTCCTCAGCACCACCTAGTCATACACACACACATACACACACACACACACACACACACACACCTGTATGCTGAATCCCCAACAGCTATCACAGTGGAAATTATAACTTCAGCATAGAAATACCAAGGGAGGGCTGGAGAGATGGCTCAGAGGTTAAGAGCATTGCCTGCTCTTCCAAAGGTCCTGAGTTCAATTCCCAGCAACCACATGGTGGCTCACAACCACCTGTAGTGGGGTCTGGTGCCCTCTTCTGGACTGCAGGCATACACACAGACAGAATATTGCATACATAATAAATAAATAAATAAATAAATAAATAAATAAATAGAAATACCAAGGGAATGAACATAGTCCCTGCACAGTTTATATCTTATCTCAACTTCAGTATCCTTGCTTCCATTCCTGGTGGCCCTCACACTCAGGGAGGACCCTGGCTCTCGGTTTCAACTGCGTGAGAGCTTCCCCTTACTTGAAGCCACTGTATCTTCTCAAACCAGTCCCAGTAGAATCAGCAGCTCAGCCACTGCGATTTCTCTTCTCCCTCAAGACCCAGTAGACTTGACAGCTATACTCTACCTAGTCTTTTAAAACTATGTTTAGTTACTTAGTGTGTGTGCACACACACAAGTGCATGGAGGTCAGAGGACAACTTACGGAGGTTGGTTCTTTCCTTCTAGCATGTGACCTCTGGGGATCAGATCGAGGTCATCAGGCTTGGCCGCAAGTCCACTTTCCCTCTGAGCCATATCATCAGACTCTCTACTTACTAAGGGGTACTGTGGTTTAGTCACCATGAAGGACTTGAAGTGAAATTCCTAAACCCAGATACATGCAAGGAAGTAGTTAATATACTTGAAACGGGAATCTACATCACCATTTCCTGCTTGATAAGGTACCAGAATGAAGCTTCTGCAGAGTGAGTTTTGTATATTGCTTCTCTACAAGGACTTTCAGGTAACTAAAGCAATAGGGTTTTCCTGTTTGTCCGACAAGACAGGTTGCCACCTTTCCCAAGGTCTACAAGGATTCAGGGAGAAGGGAGAAACATTTTACAATTAAATAACACACAAAGGAAAAAATAATGGAAATGTGCAACAAAGCAAAGCAATAAGGAATTATAAACTAGTTTTAATTACATCAACAGGAAGAATTCAAATTATGTTGAGAGTTTATGCCTTTAAAGTTTAATCCTGGTTAATATAGTCTGAGTATAACTTAATCCTCTAAAGATAAAAGTATATGTGGTGGCCAGTGAACAGAATAATCATTTCAGTAGCGGTTAGGAGTGTTGCTACAATTACTTTACATAAATAGAAACTCATATCTTTATTAGTAATGTGGCACACATCTTAGAGTAAAAATCCACATAGGACAGGCTTATAAATATACATTTATATATAATCTCAAAATCAATCACAATTGAACATTAGATACACAACTTTTTATAAAACAAATATAACCCATCCGTGTCTATTTAAAGGCATAGTTTTAACAAAATAGTATTTTGTAGACAGTCTCAGAAAAACTGTATTAGTACTTCTGGAGCCAGATTGTTCCAGCATGTCAATGCGCCAGTGGGAATAAGGCATGTGGAGAAGCTGCGTTCACTCTTCCAGGGTGGAGGGGTCAGGGCATTCTAGGCAAGAAAGCAGGAAAGACTCTAGTGACCTGGGTGAATGCCACACCCACTGAGCATTCAGCAACCTTAGAGATGATTACATTCCAGAAGAACCAGACTGGGTGGTTACTCACCTAATAGCAAAGATTTGGAAGAAAACTAAAAATACTACCGAATGGTTGGTGTATTCTTAAATGGGACACCCCCCCAAGGCTAGGAGATTTACACACATTTTTCCATTGCCAGGCTTATTGAGGCTCATATTTCTTTAACTGCTATTTTCATGAAAAGGAAATTATATGCAAGTCATCTGCTAAATTAAAAACCAAGGAAATCAAACTTGAAAGTAGACAAATTGCTCACTAAATAGTAGAATAGAATAAGAAAACTAATGCAGGTTAAAACATGTTTAGGCTGCCATGAAACATGCCAGTTACTTAACTAATGTGAGTCTTGGCTTCTTAATGATATAGAAAAGTTATATTAAACAACAATGTATATACATTCTTTACAATTCATATAATGGTGAAAAGAAGAGGCAAGACTTAGTAAGAGATTCAGGAATCCTTCCTACAAACTAAATTGCTAAAAATGCAAGGTAAGTATGTCAGTAACACATATGATATTTTATCTCTGGGTTTGAAAGTATACAAGAGATCAGAAAAACAACGAATCGTGTGTGTGTGTGTGTGTGCGCGCGCGCGCGCACGCGTTTGCGCGTGCGTACTTGTATGTTTTTGTATAAACACACCCCACCTGTCACATATGTACAAAGTGTATATACATATAAACAAGTTGAAAATAATCAACCTGTTCACTTTATGCAGTCCTGTTTAGAGAGTAAGGATGTCACCTCAGCAGACGGCCTAGGGTGCTGAGACAGACGTGTCACATGTATAAAAGACTCTCATGCCCTTGTGCTAATTTTGAAAAGTCTCTACACAGAAAGAAATTACTCTAAAGCATAGAAATGTTCACCGAAAGAGCAGCTCAAGAGTGAAACATGTTAACGACTGCCAGACCTCAGGAAAAGCAGAGCTGGAACTTACCCAGAATGGTTCTTTACTGTCATCTCGTTTGTGCCAACTCCAGGAAACATATTAGGACACGAATGTGTAAGGATGCCACTATGCTATTCATTCATAACAGCAAACCAATTATAAACCGTGTTTAAATGACGTTTTCACTAACTCTGACATTTTTACAACTAGCTAATAATATGTTACTGGTGATAGGATTTATGACGACTAGAGAGACAGAATGCCATGGCTAAGTCACTGTGGGAAAGCTAGGGTCTACCAGCCCAGCCCAGCCCACTTCCTGTTGTTCTTCAGCCTGCAAACTAAGAATAGGTTTTTCCTTTTCCAAAAGCTTTTTAAAACTCAGTTTAACATTTTGGCATCTGCAAAGTATATGAAGTTCAAATTTCAATTGCTTTATTAATGTGCAGCCATACTTGTTCACTTATGAACTGTCTGTGGCAGAGTAGAGCCTCTGGGACCCCTTTACAAAGAAAATATAAGAAATCCTGGGATAGAGCCAAGAATGGCATCCAACTTCAGTGCTAATGTCACTTAAGACAAGACCCTGAATAAAGACAGTAAACTTGGATTGCAAAAGTAGTATTAATATACCGGGATGGAAAGCCATCCCTCAGTTGTCAAACTTTCTGATTTTGTTAAGGAAAAAGCAACCAACAGTAACAGAATGCAGCTTCAGGACTTTAAGTGCATGTTTAACTACAGTGGGTCAATAAAAGCACATGGAGGCCCATGTTGTAAGACAGACCATGGTTTAAGAAAGTCATGGTTAAAAGTTAGCTAAGACAAATGCATTCTTCCAATCGTGTCCAATTGACACATTAGTATGAAAACATTAATAGTACTAAAAATGAGCTGGGGATGTACTGGGTGGTGGAACACCCCGTGAATATCTACAAGGCCTTGGGTATGATCATCAGTACTGACCAAAAAAAGAAAAAAGAAAAAAAAGAAAGGAAGAAAGAGAAGAAAAGTAAAAGGAAGGAAGGGGGAGGAAGGAAAGAAAGAGAGGAAAAGTACTAAAATGACTGGCCAAAATAATCCAAAGGTTTTAAGCAGAAAATAAAGTGATACAAAACCACTGTGTTGAGTTCCGCAAACACAGCTGTAAGAAGTGCTCATTTTCACTGTAAAATACTAGGGGGCAGGCGAAGGTGCCCAGCTGATTTGAGTATGAACAGCAGGTTCTACTTAACGGAAGTTTTAAAGACTTTGCATGAGGCATAGGAAGTCATATCGGCTCCCTCGTCCCTGCGGTCTCTTGCACGACAAGTGCATTGAACTAGCATCTCTAAAGTCTGGCCAGCACTGGTAAGCTCGCCAGAAGACTGGCCTCAACTCTTCCTTCTGCAAAGCTGGATTGACAACAGACGCTTCCTCTGGTTGGTAGGACTGAAAGAGTTCATCCACATGGAGCACTTACAACAATGCTACATACATCTGTCTGCCGCTTGTGTTTCACTTGGGCATCTCACCAAGTAGCACTGATCGCTTCTCCCTCAGGACAAACACTGTGTAGAAAGTGAAACTGTATGTCAGACCTGGGGGTGCATGCTTGAGAGAGCAGCAGCCAGGAGTCGGGGGGTTCAAGAAGGATGACTGAGAGAGAGAATGAATAGAGAGAAAAGTAGGAGTTTCCTTAGATTAGGTAAGAACGGATGTATTCGAAGTTTACAGGGCTTTCACTTCGACATGTCTATCAGTGGAAAGATCTCTGAGACGACGGTCAGCTGTTTGTGACACATCCCTTGTCGTAAATCCTTATTTCATGACAGCAATTACTGTTCAAAGTGCCAACTGGTGTCCAGTGAAAGGCAAAAACACACTGCCACTGGGGATATTGTCATTCATGTTTTGGAAGACACAGTTTGATCATGAACAGGACATATAAAAACATTGGCCAGCCAGCTACAGTCCATAAAAGAGATTCCTCTGGCCCAAGTAAACTCGCAGTATCGAGACAGCTTTGTAATTCAGTCCACCAGTTTTTTTGAATATCTACCAAGAGGTAGCATCAGTTACAAGGATGAGGAGAGAAATGACTTCCAATGAAAAGCCCAGCATGCTAGAGGAGGGCTGAGTCACTCCTAAAACTACGCAGTCCCCAAGACTGGAGGAAGGGATAAGAGTTAGGGCCTTACAGATGAGCCTATCATCTGGGGGGGCAGAGGGATGGGGAAGACGGGGACAGGACAAGTGAGAGAGAGCAGGCTGGAGAAACTCAAGGCCCCTCAGACTCACTGGGACAGGCAGTGACCCTGAAGAGGCAAAAACCCTGGAGTTTAGTAGAGTTGCTGCACGTCACTGTAAGGGCAAGGATAACTCTGAAAGTTCCAAGCGAAAATACACAAAGCTGGTCGCTAAAGTCAAAGACTATGAAACAGTTACGTGATTTGAAGCAAAAGTGGAAGGGAAGCGACACTCGCTCCCACTACTAACTGAAGTCTCTATTAGCTCCGCGATTTATATACATCAACTACTATACACATAAAGGATATAAAAATATTGGGCTTCTTATTTACAACACGGGTGTCTCTATATACTCCCAACCCTCACTCCTAAACCAACTACTAACCCTGAGAAACTGATATACCGGCCATGCTTGTGCCAAGCTTGACCAGGACCAGAGAGAGGGCTTGGTGAAGAGGCAGTTGTCATCAGGTGAAGCCACCAACTTGAACCTTGAGTTTGAAACTGGGTGTGGGCAGTGTCGCGAAGTAGTAATACATACTTTATTTTGGCACCAGCTCAGAAGAATCTGAACATTCTCCCCACAGGCAGACGTTCACCTCTGACATAAACTTGGGACTTAGAAACCATAGTCCGGTGTCACTCAGCTATAGAGTTGGAGCCAGCCTGGAAGCAATGGGAACAAATCAGAGAATTCTGGAAAGCCACTGTGGCAATGGCCCACCGTGTAAGTGCCCACAGTTACTCTCCTCTAAGTAGGCTGCCAGCATAGGTATTTAGAGATTACCTGGCTCTTTTCAAAAAAGAAAACATAGAATTTAAATTTTATTTTTTTTTTTGGTTTTTCAAGACAGGGTTTCTCTCTGTGGTTTTGGAGCCTGTCCTGGAACTAGCTCTTGTAGACCAGGCTGGGTTCGAACTCACAGAGATCCGCCTGCCTCTGCCTCCCAAGTGCTGGGATTAAGGGCGTGCGCCACCACCGCCCAGCTAGAATTGAACATTTTTAATGTATACTCTTGGTGAATTTACGTTAGGGTCCCTCCCCCTATTTTTGCTCCTAGTGTCTACAGTCTTTAAGAATGATGATATGTGTTTTCCTTAGGATGACTTGTCTGTCCTAATGTATATTAATTATAGTTAATGAATGCTGACTTGACCACCACCGTTGGCTAGAGCCACCCAGGAACACCTTAGTTGGTTGAACACAGTAGCAGAAGGAAGCAAATTCTAATTGCTAAGAATTCTCCTGTTTTTATCATTAAGGTAATTTTACATCTTCAGGAATATTCACAGTTCTTTTTTCATCTTTCCTAACAGCAATATAAAACTGTTTTCTCATAACTACTTGCTAATTGGGAAGATACTTTAGATAAATACAAACCACTGCTTATCACTATAATCTCCCCCGTACGCCCCGTCCACTGTGTGACTATCTAAAAGCACTTAGCCTCCACGAAAATGTTCTCGAGAGGCTGCTGATACACTTGTGACGTCCTGTGAAGCTCTCCACGGCAACATGCCAAGTAACCCTCTCATGCAGTACCGCACGAAATAAAGACTGTTGGGAGACACTCTTTCCACAGCTAGCTCTTTATCTCCCCATTGTGTGAGCTGACCGCGCTAGCCAAGGCTGTGAAACGTGTAGGCCAACAAAAGGCAGCCTTTGTCTGGGTTTAAATCCCAATCAGTATTACCAAAATGCACAGACACCGTAAAGCTCAAATAGAAAACATATTTGAAGTGTTCGCAAACGATTTAAATACTTCCCAAAAGCAGGGTTGCCTTGACAATCCTGTTTGACTAGGAGAAAAGCTTGTTCACTTTTTTCCCCCAAAAATGTTGAAATCATGACTTGTTTTTAAGTAACAGAAGCTAGAATAATACAGGCGATATTGAAAAATATACACTGAAGGCTTGCCGCTCCGCCTAGTGTGTCGGCCTTGCAGCTGTGCCTAAGGGGTTCCCATCAGCAAGTAGAAGGTCAGGGCGACAATGAGAAGCAAACAAAACGGAGAGGAGAAGGTCTGGTAGGCAGCCGATGGCATGAAAATGTCTTCGTATTTGTAAATACTGACAACGCGCTCTGAAGTCGGTGGGGAGTCTATGTCGTGCCTGGTGATGGAGCCTTTAACACAGAAGCAGAGTGAGGGCCAATTAAACGCAGCACAGAGTTAAAGACAGAAACACTACAGACGGGCTGTCACTGCTGAACACATACACCGTGCTTAAGATGTGGAATCATGCATTAAAGTCATCAGCAGCATTCTCTGCAATTGCTCAGACCACAGAGAGCACAGAAATCAATTATCCTTACTTCCAAAGATGGTTCTTATAAATCTGCAGACATCTCGTCCCAAATCTCTCTCTCTGTCCTGTGGCCGCCAGTTTTAATATTTATATTTGCACAAACTATATGGATTTCTATTTGCCTCTAACAAATTTAAACTCCTCAATAGCAGATAGTGTAAAATCTTTAAATTTTTTAAAAGATTAATTTTAATTTTAATTGTGCACATGTGCAAGGGCTAAAATAGGATGCTGGATCTCCTAGAGATGCAGTTACAGGTAGTAACAACAGGTAGTTGTACAGTTAAGTCACCTGAGAATGAGTACTAGGAACTGAACTTGTGACCTCTACAAGAACAGGGTGTGATCTTAACCAATGAGTAACCTCTCCAGCCTCAGGGGGGAAAAAGACTCTATTTTTAATACAAGCAGCAAATTTAACTAATTCTGCCTCCTCAAATCTTTGGTGGAGCAGTGAACCCAGGGTTTCGTGCATGCTAAGCAAATGCTCTATCACTGAGCTACCTCCACAGCCCCAAATCTCATTGATATGAATCAGGAACTCTAGTCCAGACCAAAGTCTCCCATACAAATGGAAGAGCCCTCTTTCATTGTGCACTACTAAGAGCTAGCCAGCCTTTGGCTCAGGAGATGGCTCAGAAGGTAAGAGTGTTTATTCTACAAGCAGGAGGACATGAGGCCCTAAATTTGAGTCTTCGACACCCATGTAAAAAGCCAGGCATAGCTGTGTGTGTGCATAACCTGAGCACTGGGCCATCAAAGACAGGGAGAGTGGCCAGCAGGCCAGCATAGCCCAAAAGGCAGGTTCCATTTCAGTGAGAGACTCTATATCAAGAAATAAGGTGAGTGGGGCACTTTAATCCCAACATTCAAGAGGTAGGTGGATCATAGTGAGTTCCAGGACAGCTAGGACTATGTGAAGAGACCCTGTCTCAATTTAAAAAAAAAAAAAGGCAAAGAGTAATAAAGGAAAACGAACTTGATATCTTACTCTGAGCTCTAATCACACATCTGTACACTCACACTAATATATCACAGGGATGGGGAGAAAAAGAAAGAAGGGGAGGGCAGGGCAGGGGAGAGGAGAGAACAGGAGAAGCAAAAAGGAGACTTCCCTAGCCAAAAGAAATTAGCATGCTGGATGTCAGTGACTTTTCTAGAAGCGTGGGGGAGAACAGTTTGGAAAAGAGAATGGCTAAGGTAACAATGAGATGGAACTTTTCTCAACGTGGCCACCAGAACAACAAAGGAAGTCCTGTGTAAAATGCTTAAAGACCAATGACAAGATCAGCAGCGGGGTGTTCGCCTCGCATCCGAGGACCTCAGGTTTAATCCTCAGCACTGAAGAAATAAAATGATAAAAAGAAATGGTAATAGCCCTTTCTTCCACATCTGTAACACATCTGTAGTTGCCACTTCCAGCAAGGCTAAGGCAAGAGAACTGCTTAAATCAAGAGTTTCCTTTTCATTTTTTTGTTTTTTCAACACAGGGTTTCTCTGTATAGCCCTGGCTGTCCTCAAACTCATAGAGATCCACCTTCTACTGACTCCTGAGTGCTGGGATTAAAAGCAAGCGCCGCCATGCCCAGCAAGTTTTCCTTTTCTTAAAATATATATATATATATATATATATATATATATATATATGCTTAATGAGATAAAGTTGATTAGGCATGACTGACTTCCTGGAAAAGAATATTAAAGCTGGCTTAGGGTAGCAGGCATGATGGGTCAATGCAAAGACTGCCCTAAGTCTGGAGCTCAGTTAGGGTTGTTTTTGGAGTGTTTATTTTCGTCGTACAATACTAGAGATTGAACCCAGGTCCATAAGCATGCTCGGCAAATATCTACCACTGAGCTATAGGCCCAGCTTGCCAACTTTCTTTTACTCTTTACTTTGAGATAGGATCTCACAAAACTTGCCCGGCTGGCCTTGAACTCACTCACCCTGTAACCCAAACAAGCCTTGAACTTGTGATCTTTCCTCCTCGGCCTCTGAAGTAGCTGAAATTAGAGGCTGTATCAACAGGTCAGGTTTGCACTGAGTGGGGGGCTTTACCGTCTTTCAGGAAGCTCCACCAGACCCAGCATAGGGAGCGTCAGCTGCAGTTCCTGCTTGCTACACAATGTTTCCCAGCTGGCAGGGAGATCCCCTTCTGCACGGGGGGGGGGGGGGGGGGGGGGGGGGGGGGGGTTTGTGCTCACCACACTTTACTCGCTGGCCCTTGCCTGGCCTCTTGGGCTATGCCATGCACCTCCAGTTCATGGTTTTCTTGAAGGAAATAGAATCTGTAGTCCTTCAGGCCTTAGCCCAAAGTTTATGCTAAGAGACAGGACTAGGACTGAAGAGAAGCTAGAGGAACTCCTGAGAAACAAGCAGTACACAGGCCAGCACATGGGGTGGGAGGGCTCGGTTTGCCTGAAAACAATGAGAAGAGGAACCTGGAGGAGCTTATCAGGCAAAGCCAGACGAGTATGGAACTCTCCACACCTCGGATGTTAGACTCCAAGAAGACAACCTTCTGAACATGTGAAAGTCCCCATTATCCAAGATGCCTTTCTCTGCTTTCAATGACCATAGTCAGCTGCAGTTCAAAAAGGTAGTATGGGATAGCAAGATATTTTGAAAAATATTGCATTTTATATGACTTTAATATGACTATGTACTGTTATGACTGCTTTATTAGTATATTATTATTGTTAACATCACTGTAAACCGCATACTGAATTCTAATTTATACATTATGCATAGGGGTAATTGTGGAGTTTCAAGTAGACACTTAAGTCCCAGTAACCATCTCCAACAGATGAAGTGGGACTACTATACAGTATTTTTCAATATGCGAAAGCAATTTCACATAACTATTTTCACCCACTAGCTATAACCTTAGAAAGCGGGTATTATTATTGCCCCCACTTTAGGTATAAGGAAATGAAGTTCAGATTTTAGCTAACAGGTTACATAGCTACCAAGGGGGAGAAGCAATACTAAAAGCACACATTTTCAGATTCCAGTCTTATCGTTTGAAATGAATTCATCTCTCCGAGCTAGATTATCATTTATTTCCCAGGATACTAAAGGGACTTGAAGGTACCATTGCAGATCCAGTGGGGTTGCTCTGGGAAACCAGCAAACAGAAAGGTGCCACCAATCTGGAGGCACCCGACTCTTTTTCCAGCAGGCTATGGGTGAAAAGAGAAGAGAAGAAGAAGAGGGGCTTGTGTACTCTAAATCAATGGAAAGAAATCTGGGGGAGGGGGCAGCTCAGCTAAAGCAACACAAAGCTGTCGAAGGCACAGTAAAAACAGATGTCGAGGTCTGGAGAGATGGCTCGGTGGTTGAGAGCACTGGTTGTTCTTCCAGAGGACCGGGGTTCAATTCCCAGCATCCACATGGCAGCTCACAGCTTTAGGGGATCTGACACCTTCACACCAATGCACATGAAATAAATTCAAATAAATTATTTTAAAAAATAAAAACAGATGTTGAGCTGGGTACGGTGGCATACATCGGTAACCCTAGCCACTCAGGAGGTGGAAGTAAGAGGCTTGCTCTAGCCTGAGCAGCATAATAGACACCTGGCTCAAAGAAAAAGAAAAAGCAAGGAGGAGAGGTAGAATTCCTAGCAGCCAGAATGAGAGAATGAGTTCTCTCCACAGGATTGCAAACCAAACATACCTCCACTCTTGGTGAGGCCACTGGGCCCCGTGACCGCGGAGAGGACTCACAAAATCACCTGACTTATGCAGCCTCTAGGTCTCTTGTAATTGCCCTTGGATCTGCGGTAGGAAACTACAGGAGAACTTTGACACAGGAAGTGACATCATCCACAGCCCAGCATCATCAGGGCATTTGTTAGAAATATGGAATCTTGACCTCCCCCCCATGGCCGATGACTTCATTTACCAATATAGCTGGGGGATCATTATGTATCTTAATATTTGGGGATTAATGGGTTAAAATATAGGGTATTTTGATTGATTTGTGACCATGGGAATAGATATAAAGTAAGAATGAATACTTACTGACAAGCTCTAGAGACCCTTGCCTCTTCAGTATTTTCTTATTAAAAATGATGATGGGTAAAAGATTTCACGGACTTTAGGATCTGAAAGACCCAGAATTGAGTGTATTGCTACCATTAATTAATTGTCTACCACGAGCAAGTTTCTCATTCTCTGTAAGCACGAGGGTGATGCTACCTAGACCTCTGCAGGAAGGGGTCAGGAGCGAATGCTGCCGTCTGCGCTCCACGGCAGAGGTGTGGTTGCTTCATGAAGCACACGACACCCTACGTGGTCTCACGCACTCTAGCTGTGCGTGTGTGCACTGTGTCAGGCGGCCCCCGCACCGCCAGGTCTTTAGAACCTTCTGAAGGAAGGACTCCTATTCCCTTTTCCTCCTAAAGCCGACCGAGTGCTGTGACGCTCGTACCCCTGCCGTGTGACTCCACTAACAGCGCGCATGCGCATGGCGGTGCCTGGCATTCAAGGCAGAAGCTAAAAGGGAGGCTTACCCTGAATGGCCGGACCCCAAGCAAACAGGTAATACCAACTCAAGTGTAGATCCACGATCGTTTCATCTCTGGGAACGTTCACGGGACGCTTAAACCTGCAGGTGACACGATTGTTCTCGAAAACTCCTTCCTCGTCTCTGGCAGGATTTCTCTGGACCTCCTTCGCCCACTGTCCCACATTGTAGAAGTGCTGGATGCGGACTCTGCCATTGTCATCATGGACGCAGGCCATGACATCATCACCGCCCTAGCAGAGAGAAAGGTCGAGAAGAAAAAAGTTAAATGTCTGCCTTCTGCAAACGTTTCACTGAGAAGTATACATCCTATATCCTCTGTAATTAGAAGTATCATACAACTTATTTAGAAAAACCATTAAAAACCCTTAAATCAGGACAGTGAGGTGGCTCAGCCACCAAGCAGAATGGCCAGAGTTTGATCTCTGGTAGAAGAAGAGAACCAACTCCTGCAAGCTGTCCTCTGACCTCCACAAGCGCACAATGGTATGCATACCTACCTCACAAACAAATAAATATGTGAGGTTTTTAAAAATATTTTTTTTTAAAAAGTCCTAAATCAGTGAGCAAAGCCAGCATGTATGGCTGACATCTGGGCCTTCCTGCTGCCACAGCTGGGGGATGCATGTCTGCAGAAGACCACACAAAGTAGCCTGAGGAGTCCCGCCAGGTGGATCCACCCTGAAGCTCATCCTAGCACAACAAGCAAACAAAAGTTCAGTTATGGAAAACTTCCCAAAGTATTTAACTAATCCATTCAATAATTTAAAAAGCCCCAGAAGCTATTACAAAGTGAAGAAGGCTGGTGTCACGTGACCATAAATGCAATGATGTTCCTAGGCAGGATCTTACTGACCAATGGCGTTTGGAAACAATGTATCTGACAGGACTAGCCTATGGATCACCAACTCTCTGACTTTAATGACCATGTAAGGACAGACGAGGTCCTTGATTTGAAGAAAAACCTCTTAAATATTTAGGGTTAAAAGGTATCTGTTATATACCCTTGAAGTTTCCAGAAAATATGAATCATAAAGGAGTTAACCAGCAGCGGAAGCAGCACTGGGAGAGAAGAACACACGGACAACAAAATGCTGCTTGAGAAAATGCTCTGGAACCAGGAAACGGTGGTGACTTGGCAGCAGCCATTGTGATTGATGCCACTGAATTATTCACCAGAAAATGGTCAGAAGCGATGCATTTCCGGTACACACTGCTATGACAAAAAAGCTAACAGTTGATGCATCTGGGACGAGAAATGGAGACAGAGATGGGGTAAGGGAAAAGATTTTGGGGAACCATCTCTGTAGCTTAGTTGGAGGTTTAATTATTTTTTTCCTTTAGAACAAGTTACAAATATTAAAGTCTGGCTGAGTGTACTGTTTGGTGGAGGATATGGATGGCGGGGGAGGCACTGTCTGGAGCGGAGCCTGTGAGGCATGCCATTCAGACAGGAACCCAAAGTTGCCGTTAAAAAAAAAACTAATTTGAAAACCATTCCATAAAAATTCAAGGTTACTAAAGAGGGAATACACATTGCTCTTATTATACATCACTGAGTTTTTGTTTTTAAATTTAATCCATGCTTCAGTGGAGAGAGGAGAGAGGAAAGGAGGGGCTTCTTTATAAGAACTTTCATGACATTTGAAAGGCTCCCTAGTCTGCCTCTATTACCTGAGCCCGAAATCAACCCACTCTTCCCTTCCTCCTTCCCTCCCTTCCTTGTTTTCAGACAGGGTCTCACTATGCAGTCTCACTATGGCCTTGAACTCATGTTCTTTTTCTTCTTCCTTTTCCTCTTTTCTCCTTTATTGGGTTGATTCTCAGGCCAGAGCTTGGGGTTGGCCTGCAAGGCCCTCAGCACAGCCCCACGCCCTGGCCACCAGAAGAATCACAGGCTGATTTTAGGAGCTGCTCCTTTGCTTCACACCTAGGGAGAGAAAACCCAGTGAAGCCATGACAGGGAGAGGGCGCAGTCACTCCACATCCTGAGGCGGCGACAGTTAGGGACTTCAGGAAAAATAGTTCCATCATGTACAGTGCGGGCAGCTCGTATGTCGGGGATGCTGGTGCCAATGACTTAGTTTCAGGGGGTTAGTCTATTACCATTGTGTGTGTGTGTGTGTGTGTGTGTGTGTGTGTGTATGTGATGTGCCACATGCCTACATAACGAGGCCTTAATAAAACCTCCAAAGAGGGTGCTGGAGAGGTGGCTCAGAGGCTAAGAGAACTTGCTGCTGTTGAGGGGGCCTGGGTTTGGTTTCCAACAGCTACACTGGACAACTCTCTATCTCTGTCTCTCTCTCTCTGTCTCAGTCTCTCTCTCTTATACACACACACACAAACTCACTCACAATTTTCAAAAAATCTTCTTAAAACTCCCAAAGAAGTGCTGGGGACTTGACACAGTTGGTAAAATGCTGGCCTTGCAGTCCTGTGTTTGGATTCCCCTACCCCACGTAAAAAGGCAAGTGTGGTTGAGCATATCTGTAATCCCAGCAGTGATGAGAAGGACGCAGAGATAGGCGGATCCTTGAGCTCACGAGCCAGACGGCCTCGTCTGCTTGCTGAAGCTCCAGGCCAGGGAGAGACCAGCTCAGATAAAAGGTGGTAGTCGTCTGAGCAAACACCCGAGACTGTCTTTGACCGCCACACTCAAGTGAACACACACGCATGTCCACATCCACACGTACATGTACAACTGCATACAGAGACAAAGAGAGAGGCAGAGATGGAGAGACAGAGGTGGACAGAACACATGCATCTGTGTGCGCATGCGCACACACACACACATGCACAGACATATAAAGACACACAGAGAGTTTGAATGATCTTCTTGACTGCTAATTACCGAGAGGAGCTTAGAGGATGAGACACCCTAAGTAGGCATGGTAGCTCCTCCCTCGCTCCCCCACGCCTTCTCTACATATCTCTTGCATTTGGCTGTTCATTTACTTTGTTTTAGCATCCACACTATAAACTGGTGCTGGGATTTGGATCTCAACTGTGTCCCAAAGGTCTCTGTGTTAAAGGTTGCTCCCAGCCTATGGCACTATGGAGGGGAGTGGGAAACACGAGGGATGGGGCCTAACGGAAGTAAGTTAGGTGGTAGGTGGCGTGCTCTTGGAAGCAGACATTGGGACTCTGGTCCCTCCCCCATTCAAGGTTAGAAGGTTTCCCCACCCCCACAGACTTTCTATCACAACCAACTATCTTAGTCCGGGCCCAAGCAATGGGGGCAAGCAACCACGGATGGAAACCTCTGAAGTCAGAGCCAGAATAAACCTTGGGGTTGTTGCTGATGAGCATCTACCTGTCTGTTTATCTGTTTGGTTTTGCTTATTCGCTCAGTGGGTGGCTGCGTTGGGTGATGGAATGCAGGGCCATGTGCATGCTAAGCAAGCTGAGCTACATCCTCTGCCTTTATAGCCTTTGGAAAATGAGCTAATGTAATGTAGAGCTGATGAACACAATGAGAAAATCAACGAGAGTTTTCATCCAAGTTCTGGCGAATGAATGAAACTCAAAAGGAAGTCACGGGGACTCTGATGTGTATAGTCAGTTTGTTAGATTACAACCTGGAACTTGAAATTGCCATCAACAAGGGAGCAGTCTTGAACTAAACCCTTACTTTGTTACATCTGACACTCTCCACATAGATTGTGTTAGAACCGACCGAGGTAGAGGATGTGACCTTGTGTCCATTGGAGACTTGCCTGGTGCATGCATGTACGTGTGTGTGCGTGTGAGTGTGTGTGTGTGTGTGTGAGTGTGTGTGTGAGAGTGTGTGTGTGTGTGTGTGTGTATGTGTGTGTGTGATGGGGTAGAGGAGTGAGAAATATCTGGTCACAGAAGTGTTCTGTGTTGAGTGTGTGTGTATAAATGAAGAACACTTGACTCTCTTACAATGGTTCTTCACCGCCGCCTCTGCTATGAAGAGAGCCTTGGTGGCTGCCCCTTCCAGACTGACTGAAGCACACACAGGAAGTCAAACCCAGTTCCTGGACGACAGCCAAGCCCAGCTGAGCCCACAGAAAACAAGCTGAGCCCCAGCCAGTCCACACTCGTGTGAGCAAGAGACATAAAACAATCGGCACAGGATATGTAGTTTGCAGCATAGTGTGGACAGAGCTGATCACTACGTGGAGCACAAGACACCCTGTATATTCTAACAACCAATCTTTCCACTAAAGTTTGTTTGAATTAAAAAAAAAAAGAGTTACTTATTTTTTATTTATGTGTACATTTACATGTGTGTGCCCGCATGAGTTGATATGTCATATACAGGATGTGCACTGCGTGCAGGTGCCTACAGAGGCTGGGGGTGTGAACTGCTTGATAGAGGTGCTGGGAGCCGAACCCCGGTCCTCTCTCTGCAAGAGCAGTTTGTGGTTTTACCTACTGAGCCATCTTTCTAACCTCTGAGTTTTTCAAACTTGCAGTTAGAGAGTTGTGAACAGCACAATGCTTCTACTTCTCTGATTAATACATTTGCTTCCAAAATCTAAAGAAGAACAGCAAAGAAAAAAAAGGCAGCTTCTGTCATGATGTATGCCTTACCATCTTTTTGTCTGAAGAGAATCCAACTGCTACCCAGCCATCCGTGTCTGCGCTCAGCTCAAACTCCACATCAGCCCCTATCATCCGGTAGCTAAGGAAGTAGTCACAGGTCTCTGCGTTACAGCCGGGCTTGCCATACCTGGAGCATATGCCAAAAGAGACATTATTGCTTCTGCGCAATTCAGATGAGAAAAGAGGACACCTACTGTGCACCCCGAGGCCGCTGAGCCATGCCATTGATGCCATTCGATTGTTGCTCCCCAGGATCTCAGAAAAGCAGACTCCTCAGGAGGGACCATGGGTAGGAACCGCTCTACTTTACATGTTAGCTGAAGTCCAAAGAAGGAAACGGGTTCAACCAGGTTGCATAATGAAGTCAGTGCCTGCAACAGGACTTCAACTGGGTCTGTTTTTCAAGTTAAAAATTTGTCTGGTTAAGCCAGGTGGTGGTGGCGCACGCCTTTAATCCCAGCACTCGGGAGGCAGAAGCAGGCGGATCTCTGTGAGTTCGAGACCAGCCTGGTCTACAAGAGCTAGTTCCAGGACAGGCTCCAAAACCACAGAGAAACCCTGTCTCGAAAAAAAACCAAAAAAAAAAAAAATTGTCTGGTTTTTCTCACCAGGTAGTGGTGGCATGGCACACGCCTTTAATGCCAGCAGCAGGGAGGCAGAGGCAGGCAGATCTCTCTGAGTTCAAGGCCAGTCTGGTCTACAGAGCAAGTTCCAGAACAGCTAGGGCTGTTACACAGAGAAACCCTATCTCGAAAAACAAAATAAAACAAAAAATTGTCCAATTTTTCTTAATTAAAATGTATACCAAATATTTTTCCTTATAACTTTTCATAGTTAAAATATCATAGATTTAGAAATAAAAACAGAAATCTTGAAATTTACAGTATTTGTGTGGCAACTTTCCTAGAAGTGTTGTTGTGCATGGTTCAGCAGTATGTCTGATTGCCCCAGTAGGAGCTTTCTTATTCTTATTGACATGGAGTGATGGCCCAGCTCCCACAATTTAATGTCTTGGTCTGCTGCAAAAGCCACACTTCGTCAAATGCATCATGTAAAAACCTCACCCGGGATCCGCTGAACACAGAATGTGATTTATTTATAAAATGTACATGGTGTTAATATAATCACAAAGGCAGACACAAAAACATAACAGTAGAAGGTCTTTGGCTATATAGGAAGATTCTGTACACGTTCATCTTTTAAAAGAGCAACTCCAAGCAGGACACAGAAATTTCAGATTTCTTACAGAGAAACAAGTGGGATGGCTCAATAGATAGGAACAGCTGCCACCAAGCATGGTGACCTGAGCTTCCTCCGTGGAGCTCACATGCTAGAAGAGAAAGGACTCCTGCAAGTTGCCTTGTGATCTCCATATGAATGCCATGGCATAAGTGTGTACACTTACCTGTACATATGTGCATATGCATGCCCATAAAGACGTGCACAAAAATAAATAAAAATGTAACAACAACAACAAACTTTACAAATGGCCAGATGGTAGTGGAGCACGCCTTTAATCCCAGCACTCGGGAGGCAGAGGCAGGTGGACCTCTGTGAGTTTGAGGCCAGCATGGTCTGTAGAGTGAGTTCCAGGAGAGCCAGGACTGTTTCACAGAGAAACCCTGTCTCAAAAAACCAAAATGAAAGTAAGATAGAGAGAGAGAGATACAGAGAGAGAGAGAGAGAGAGAGAGAGAGAGAGAGAGAGAGAGAGCAGGCCAAACAAGCCAGTGAACAGTACTCCTCCATGGCCTCTACTCCTGTTCCTGTCTCCAGGTTTCTGCCTTGATTGAGTTCTTGCACTGGCTTCTCCCAATGGTGGACTGTGATATAAGCCTTTCTGGCTATGTCTTTATCATGGTGACAGAAAGTGACTACGACAGCGTCTTTAAAGAAGGAAATGCCCAAACTGAACACTAGCCAAGCGTGGTGGTGCATACTTTTAATGCCAACATTATGGAGGAACTGTGAGGAGTTTATACAGAATTCAAGGCCAGCAAGACCCTATATCAACAAACAATCAAAATCCCTGGACACTGGGTTTCTTATCTGAGTTCTCCATAACCCTGCTGAAGTTACAAGGGGGACAGACCAATGTGCCAATGCATGAAAGTAGAGAAGCCAGTCCATTTCTGAGCCCTAGTTATCAGTCGCAGCTGTACCTACCTAAAGCATCCTTTAGTTCTTCCGCAGTCTTCCACTTTGATTTTGGCAAATGGGTCCACAGGAGGAGCAGTGGGGAAAGGATAGCCTGGGCGGTGAAGATAAACCGGGGTCATAAAAATCCAGTAACAGTCTTTACAGTGAGAATTCTAAAAACTGCATTGGCGATTTTCTATCATCGTTGTTAGCAACGCTTAGGAACTTAACGAAGGTCTTTGATAAAGTCAGAATATCTCCCCGACCTGAGGGAGTCCTTCGGACTTCACCTTGGGGCTCTGGGAATGAGTGTGTTCTTACTTCATTTTCAAGCAAGCAACCAGGGACCTTGGGTGGGGACCTCGTTCTACATAACCACCGGTTTCCCACTGCCCCCTAGGAGTTAGGAATCTCAACTTGAATACGTGCACACGCTCTGGAAGGGAGACAGTCGACAAAGGCCCAGGCACTTGGGCAATTTCACTCATACACAGAATGAATGTTGTGTTTCATCTCTCTGAACTGCCACTTACCCATGTGCTAAGTCCATCCCACACATAGTTTCAAGCATGGTCCCTTTGAAATTACTTACACCCTAATGCATTTAAGCACCGTTAGAGAGTAAGGCATCCTTTTCACCTAGGCTGTTCACTCCACGTATGCAGGAACCATATGTGTCATCCTGTGTTCTCTGCCCAGCAGGGTGTTTGGCACTGGACACCGAATAAATGATCGTCAGTGGTGAAATGCAGGCTTCCACAGATATGCCTAGGCAGTGTACGCCATGTCTTTTTATTTGTAGTGCTGTTCAATAAAGTTTTATGTAGTTAAATTAGCCTTATGCTTTTCACAAATGTCTCCGGAGTATCCTTTCCTGCACAGGTATGCCTGTCTCTGCTATCACAGAGTTTGAGCACGGGATCAAATACCAGCTCCCTTTTTATCGCCCCTAAGTAACCGGGTCAGATGCTTTGCCTCTCATTTGATCTGATTTTGTGCTAAAACCTACATTATTTTCACCACTATTGACCGCATCCTGCCTTGGACAGGCTTCTTTTTCTTTGTATTTATTGATCAAGCAGCTTATCGGCGCTACAGATCATAGTAAGCATCTTCACTTAAGCCCTTACCGTTGAGTGTCACAGACGTTCCACGGCTATTTTTCCCACAGACTGTTCACCCAGGAATGCAATGGCTATTTCCTTACCTGTCACTAAGATTCTAGCGGTGACAATCGCTTCAATGTTACTTCTGACTCAAGTTCTGCATCTTCTTCTTTTGATCTCTTTCTGTATATGGGGAGGGGGGGCAGGGAGGGGTTGGAGACAGGGTTTCTCTGCACAGCCCTTGCTGTCCTGGAACTCGCTCTGTGTACCTCGAACTCACAGAGATCCACCTGCCTCTGCCTCCCAAGTGCTGGGATTAAGGGAGTGCACCACCACCGCCTGGCTGTCTTTTTGTTTTTTTTTCTTTAAGGAAAAACGGGTTTCTAGACAGCAAATAAAAGCACATTTTAGAACCGAGTTTATGCAAATGTTCTGAACTAGTTCATGAGGTTGGCTAACGCCTTCACTAACACTGATTTCCTATCATTTCATATGTCCTAAAATAAAACCAAATAAGAACTTGTGTTCTGTGAGCTGTGCGTACACATTCATTTAAACACACCCCTCTCCCTGCCCCAGTTTTGTGGATGAAATTAACGGTTTTGGTGAACATTTTACCACTGGGTTACATAGGGTTTTATGGTTAAGGTCACCACAACAGGAGGAACTGTATTGAGGGGTCCCAGCATTAGGAAGGGCGAGAACCACTGCTCTAGGATCTTGGACTTCTAGTAGTAGGTGACTCTTGACTCATCAAGAGTCCCTTAGAGAGCACCTGAGTTTGTGCTAAGATATAAGATACATTGGATACATTGGCATAAATGCTCTCCCAGATTGGGATGCCTAAATTGCCTCCTGCTGTGGCTTGAATCTGAATGCCCCCACGGGCTCTTTTTTGTTGCTGTTGTTGTTGAACCCTTGGTCCCTGCTGGTGGCACTGTTTTTGGAGGCTGTGGAATCTTTAAGGAAGTTGAGGCCTCAATGGCAGAAGGAAGTCACCAGGAACAAGTCTCTAAAGAACCCTCCCTCTTCTACTGCTGTGTTCGCCGTGATAGGAGCTGACTCTGCCACTCAAGGTGCCGTGAGTAGAGCCGCCCCACCAGGTCTACTCCCCATGAAAGGTCGAAACCATAAAGCTAATTAATCTTCCCACCCTTGAGCTGCTTCTGGTCACCGTGGTCACAGAAAAGCAAATGACACACCGCCACAGGCTTGTCTTCTCCAACTGTGAAAACACAAACGTCTTTACCCATGTTGCCTCTGAGTTTTTATCTAGGACATTTTTATTGTGTAACCCAGGAGAGGCAAGGCCAGACGGCCTCTCTAACTGTGCAGAGTTTGAGCGGATTACTATTCTGAACACCGTGGGCTTGCAGTCCCTGGGCACCTCATGATTGACTGCCCCAGTTTCTCCACATCCCAACTCGACATGATATCATTATTATTTTAATTTGGATTTCCCTAAGCACTGATAGACACAAATGTCTCTTTATATCTGTATAAAGCCCTTGGGTTCCTGCTTCTGTGATGTCTATTTCTGTAATCTCTGTTTCTTATATTATTTGGAATTCAAATTTGTTCATAGAAGGTTATATATATTTCATAAAATTGTTGGTTCCAGATGTTGCTATTTTTCCTTCTCACCAATTTTTTTCTATTTACTTGTTTGTTTTTTCTATGATGCCCTTTTTTTAGATCCAAATGTTTAACTTCAATGAAGTTCTCTCTCTCTCTCTCTCTCTCTCTCTCTCTCTCTCACACACACACACACACACACACACACACACACACAAACACACACACACACACACACATTTTGTTTTTGTTTTTTTGAGACAGGGTTTCTCTGTGTAGCCCTTGCTGTCCTGGAACAAGTAGACCAGGCTGGCCTTGAATTTACAGATATCCACCTGCCTTCGCCTCTCAGGTACTGAGATTAAAGGTGTGTGCCACCACCTGGTGCTTTTCGGGCCCTCACGGGATCATTTTCTACCCCATCAGTCCGAGCCATTTCTCTCTTTTTACCTACTAATGTTGTAGTACTGTATCAATAGCACAGTGAGAGCTTTGACCCACTGGGAATTTACTCATTATCTAATGTGAGGTAAGAAATCAATTGTATTTTTCTGCACATATTGATTTGTTTGGGTTTCTTTTTGCTTTATTTTGTAAGGCAGAGTCTCACTATGTATACCCAGCTGACCTGAAATTCTCTATATAGATCCATCTGGCTTGGAACTCAGAGAGATCTACCTGTTTCTACCTCCAGACAGTTGAGATCAAGGATGTGCGCCATCATGCCCAGCTCTACTTAAGTTGAATCAATTTTTTTCTCAATATAATTTGTAAAACAATTCATGCTTTCTCTAGTAATTTATGATAACTCTTTTCCAAGTCACCAGTTCTTTCACAAAACTGGTCTATTCTAGATTTTCTGTTGTTTTGTTTGTAAAATAACTGTGTTACTTTAATTATTTCACTTTGTAATGTATCTTAATTATCTAGCAAAGAAAACTATCTCCTCAATTCATGGGACTTGATTCTTCCTTACAAAGCACAGAAGTCATGTGTGAAATTCCCTTCCAGAACTGTACCAGACTCCTGTCTGGAATTGTCTTCCATCTGAGATAAATTGTGTGTGGATGGAGAACTGGTCTATTCATAATACCAGGTTATTCTTCTCAAGATCATGGTTTATCTGTTTATTCACATTCTTTTTTTTAATCCTTTCTTTTTTTAAATTTATTTATTTATTAAAGATTTCTGCCTCCTCCCCGCCACTGCCTCCCATTTCCCTCCCCCTCCCCGGATCAAGTCCTCCTCCCTCGTCAGCCCAAAGAGCAATCAGGGTTCCCTGCCCTGTGGGAAGTCCAAGGACCTCGGTCCAGGTCTAGTAAGGTGAGCATCCAAACTGCCTAGGCAAAGCCAGTACGTGCAGTAGGATCAAAAACCCATTGCCATTGTTCTTAAGTTCTCAGTAGTCCTCATTGTCCACTATGTTCAGCAAGTCCGGTTTTATCCCATGCTTTTTCAGACCCAGGCCAGCTGGCCTTGGTGAGTTCCCGATAGAACATCCCCATTGTCTCAGTGTGTGGGTGCACCCCTCGCGGTCCTGAGTTCTTTGCTGGTGCTCTCTCTCCATCTGCTCCTGATTTGGACCTTGAGATTTTATTTACATTCTTTATATCCCTTAATAGTTCATTTTTTCCCTCTCTGTAGATAAGATCAGACATCGTAGAGCTCTGTTGCTACTTTGAGCTGTTACCTTGTTTTTCTTTACATTCTCTGGCTCACTGTCGCTGGTGAGGAAGGACTTTGGGTTCCTAAGCTATTCTAATCTCCTAAAAGCTTTCCTAAGAAGTTCAGCTAAGTAAAGTTAAAAAAAAAATGATAAAGGCCAGGTAACGGATCATCCTCTGTACAGGAAATGTCCACAGTAGACAAACATTGAGACAGAAGGCTTCGTGGTTGCCGAGAGCTGAGAAGGAAACCATGAAACATCGGCATGCTGCTGGCTCTAGCTGGCTCTAGAGAAGCATGGCTTCTTTTCAGGGTGATCAGAGAGTCCTGAATATGACCGTGGTAATAGCTGCTGCACAAGCCCTGTGGACACTCTTTAGAACCTCGTCATAGCAGGCCTTAAATAGGTGCATGAACACACACAGGCCACCATGCGCCTGTGGACGTCAGAGGACAACTTCTGGGAGTCAGTTCTGGGCATCCAACTTGGGCTGTCCATCTCAGTGGCAAGCATCTTTACCTGGTGTGACATCTCACCAGCCCTAATGCCAATATTTTGACATACAACGTTTTGATAGTTCAATTGAAGGCTATCATAATTCCTCTTACGGTTTCCTCTTTAGACCTTTTGTCAATGATTTTTAAACTGGTATTATCACCCATGATCCTTTTATCTTTTTTTCTTTTCTTTTTTAAGGGCTGGGGATCAAATGGAGAGCTTTGCCAGGCAGGTGAGCACTCTCCCACTGATTGGTAGTCCCAGTAA